ATTTCTTTTTTGCTTCTTGATAACCAGTGTGGGGGATCAGAAATACAGTTTGTGAGTGGTTGAAGAGTTTAACTTTAGTGTTACACACCGGTCTTGGGAGTATCTGCTCTCCCTGTTGCAGCCTGCCCTGACCTTGGCATTTCCATTGACAGCTGCCCCAGTTACACCAGGTCACAATATTTATAAATGGCCTGGAAAAGGGGGTAAACAGGAGACCATCTAGTCCAACCCCCTGCTCAAAGCAGGACCAATCCCCAGACAGATTTTTTTTACCCCAGTTCCCTAAAAAGCCTCCACAATCCTGGGTTTAGCAGGCCAATGCTCAAACCACTGAGCTATCCCACTGGGCTAGATGGAGCTGCCATGATACTGCCCAGCTGCAGCTCCCTGGATGCTCAAGAGAAATTAGAACCTTTTCGTCTGCCTCTTTCTCATAACATAAATGAATATTTATAAACATAAACATAAGTTGCACTAATGGAGTCTATGGCTGCACTCTGCATATGGAAAGGTCTCCCGACCAGTCTAGGGCTGGGGTATTGTGCCCATCAGCTACTCTAATCAGCCCTCCCATCTTTGTGCAGCTTCCGCTACCCTGTACAAGACCCTTCAGCAGATCCTGCGGGCAGTGGCTACTGTGACAGGCCCTGGTAGCACATCTCTGATGAACCTGTGCTAGCAGGGAGCTGGAGAGGGTCCTAGAGCAGTTGTGGAGGCACAGAGATTGTAGGTGGGAAGGCCGAGATATCAGAGGATCACTGAGATCTGTGCCTAACTTTGGGGATCACTGGATCCTGGGTCCCCCTGTTATTCCTCAGGGAAAATTGAAGGACTGGAAGGGACCTCGAGAGGTCATCTAGTCTTGACCGCTGAGCTTACGGCAGGACTAAGTCTTATCTAGACCATTCCAGACAGGGATTTGTCTAACATACCCTTACAAATCTCCAGTGATGGAGATTCCACAACCCCAGAGCAATAAAAATCCACGGTAATTTCCATGTAGGGAGCATTGTGGACTCTCCCTTCCCTGGCCTGCACCCTTGGTTTGTTATTAATTATGTGGTTTTGTGTGGCCCTAGCTCCACCATGAAAACGGAGGTTCCCTCTCCATCCCTTCTGCATCCCCCTTCCTTCTGGGGAAATGGCGTCAAATGTGCAGGGGTTTGCACCTGGCATTCCTGCCGGGGAGTGGGGTCAGGGCACACGGTCAGGGGGTGGGGGCTTATTCCACTTACCCCACCCAGCGGTTCTGAGATGGTGGGCTTACCCCATTCCTACGCTATTCCAGTGCTCCGACCCGCTCTCCGGCAGCTGGGTGGGGGAGAGGGGCAATCCCCCGCACCCGGACCAAGCTTCACTGCAGGAATGGCAGGTGGGTGTAACGGAGCAGGGTGACACCATTGGCCCAGAACTAGTGGCTAATCCACTACTGGCCCAAACCCGCCCCCAGGTGGCACACCCCCATCTGGGGCAAGAGACCAGGGAATCAGTGCTCTGGACCGGCAGGAGAGGGATACAGCTGAGCACCGAACTGGAGTCGAGAGTCCCAGCTGGTGGATTGGACTTTGATGTTAAGTGGATGGGCTCTGGCCCAGAGACCCACCCATGGCTTTACCCCTGCTTCAACTCAGCCTTGTTTCCCTGTATCTCTGAGAGCATCTTCCCAAATGTTTGCTCCTTTCTTGTGGAAGCTGAACCCCGTGTGAGTGTAGGCCCTGTCACCATAGTGCTCTGTGCTCAGTGTGTTACAGCATCAAGGTGTAGAGCTGACCTTTGCCCTCAGACTACTCTCTGCCAGCCAGACTGTCTAAGATGAGGCTCCTGTGTCTGTTCTTCCATTGTTTGCAATGGCTTCCAAACACTGGTCTGGTGACGGTGTGGAAACTCCTGGCATCCCCATGACACTCCCACACTCCCCTCCAAAATCATCCTCCTTATTCCTTGTTCCTCATGGAGAAGGGAAGGGTCCTCCCCTACTAGAAGGATCCAAATGAAATTTCTATGTAGGGAGCATTGTGGAATCTCCCTTCCCTTCCCTGCACCCTGGGTTTGTAATGCAGGAAAGGGGCTGCCAATGAGTAATCAGGCCCCATATTATTATTCAATTTTATTTTATTTCAGCAAGATCACAGCTGGGACAGCATCATTGTTACCACTCAGCTGCTCTTGTGGTAACCATGTAACTAATGAGAACCATATGAACAGTGATGACAAGCCCAGATTCTAGGAATAGAGCCTGCAGCAGAGCTGGCACTGCCAACCAATCAGGTAGCATCACCCTGGGTCCTCTGTGATTTGGCCTCCTGCAGTTTGCCATTGACCGTGACAGGGTTAAAGCTGGTGCACACTGAGCCAAGCAGCTGAGATTCCCTGATGGCCAAGTGGCCCCCAAGGGAATGTGCAGACATGCTTCATATAGACACTTGCCTCCCTAGCTGAACAGATACTGCCTGCTGCCCGTGCAACCTCTCCAATGAGTCCTTGTCCTTTACAATGAAGACTTCTGGTGTCAGTGGCTCCCCTGCTAGCAGGAATTGGGTACGTTGGCAGGTTTCACTATCTTTACAATGTGCAGTGAAGGGTAAAGGCTGTTTAAATTTGAAGATGTTCTGTGGCACCGCAGCGAACTCGGCTGGGCTGTCAGAGTGACACAGTAACAGGGGCAGGAGGTCAGGCAGCACTAGGTAGCTTGGCAATCCCTCCCCTGCATGTGCCCAAGATGGTCAGTGGATTATTCAATTTACACAGAAACTGGAGCTTGGAGTGTTAAAAGCCTGATTCCCTGAGTCAGGATTTCTCAAGGGGTCCCATTTCTAGAGGTGCCGTGTGCTCTGGGCACGATCCTGCAAGGGGCTGAGGGAGACGAGACCCCATGGAATATCAGTGACTAGTTCCCAAGTCTACTCAGGTTTATTTGCTCCTGAAAATTTAATCAGCAAATGCATTTTCAACGCTTTTATTCTCTGAATTGATTGTGAAGGCAGGAATTCAGAGCTGCATTGCTTTGTGGTAATAGGTCCCAGAGGGCATATTTTTGCCCTATAGTTCCAGGGCTACTGGCATCTCTTCCCCCTCTCTGGTCTCTGAGTGCCAAATGTCAGGCCTTGTTGCCTTCCCACTCATGGGGTGGAATCCCTCCATTCTCCCCCCCCTCAGACTGGGCACTGGGCTACAGCCCACTGTGGTCAACTGTGCTTGCCGAGCAGGTCCGAGTGGGTTCAGCACCTGTGGTTGACATGTGTGTACTAAGGTACATACGTGTAAATGTTAGGCCAGAACTATTCATTGTAATACAAATATTACAAACCAAACTTTCATGTCCTGCCTGTATATCAAAAGCCAGCAGCAGAGTTGTTGGAATCTCTGCTGGAAGGAGCAGGGGTAACTTTACTGCTTAATGGCTTTGGCTTTAGCAAGTGTTTCAGAAGTGCTCCACATACTGCTTGCAATGGGTGTGTGCTATTAACTCATTGTTCATTTGAGTGATGCTGTCTCCTGGTAACTGATTAGAAGCTGTTTCTAACACTTATATTCTGAATCGTGCACTCAATAACTCTGCAAGGCTTGTGCAAGGCTTTCTAAAAATCCATGAGAGACCAAAACCGCTGGTCTGTATCTCATAAAAGCGTTTAGCTGAGGAGCAGCAAAGGGGAGTGTAAAAGAGGCTTTAGCTAACTGTCCCCATCACTAATTACATGAGCATGGCTGAAGTAACTTGTACACTCAAGTGGATAATAGTGCAATACCCGTGTTTGAAATATTGACACATTTGTGAAACCAACTCGTCCCCTGCGCAGCTGAAATAATTGTCTATGTCAGCTTGTAATTTTCCAAATATCTACAGACTGTTGCATGGGCAGAGGATGTAGGTCCCAGGGGTATAAAGAGAAACCTGTAGGATGATCGAAATCTCTGGATTCTGCCAACATTGGCCAGGCAAAGCACTTCGGCCTCTCTTGGAGGGATTCTTGGGGGGTCAGAGTATATCACTGGGAGCATTTGGTGAGGGTGAGTTAATAGAGCCTGGTTCTGAGTGAATTTACACATGAAACTCTGGTGTGAGGCTGTTGATATCACTATTATTGAATTAAGGACCTGACCCTAAAAATTTATCCTATATGCTGGAAAAGGGCAGTTGCATAACCTGGACTGTCAGGAGCACAGAAAAAAAATAATTCAAATAATGAAGCCATGAAACACATTTAAAAATAGCTTCAGGGCAGGACAGATAAATACAATGACCGTTTTCACAATGCACTTGCCATGTATTTACACACATGGCATGATAGAAGGGGCCACACTCAGAAGTGGAGGGCCAGAAAGGTTGTCTATGTGAAGTGTATAACAGTGTTCAAAAGATAGCTACATAAATTAATGGACGATGGATCACTTGATGATGACCTGTTCTGTTCATTCCCTCAGGGGCACCTGGCATAAGCCACTGTCGAAGACACGATACGGGGCTAGATGAACCTTTGGTCTCACCCAGTATGGCCACTCTTAAGTTTTTATGTTCAAAGCTCACAATGGTAAAATCATACAGCACTCAAGTTGGCTGTGGAACTCACAGCCACAAGCTATAAAAGAGGCCAAGAGCTTAGCAGGATTCCAAGGAGGACTGAGTAACCAGAAAATCCAATTACAGTAGAGGACTGTTTAAAAATTTTTTTGGAGAGGCTCTAAACCTTCCTGATTACACCAAAAAATATGTCTAACTAGTGGGTGTCAGGGGGAATCTCTCTGGGAGAACTTTATCTCATAGCTGCCTATTTCAGGGCTTCTTCCACCTTCCTCTGAAGTATCTGGACATGGCCACCGGTTACTGGGGGAGATGGACTACAAATCTGATCCAGTCCAACTAATTAGAACTATGTAAATCCAAGAGTATGTTTTTGCTTATCTACCTTGAGCTCTGGGAGTCTGTGGGCTTGCACTGAGAGCAGAATGATTTTTTGATAAATATCATCTAATCTTCTTTTATATTTTCTTTTAGGAAGGAAAGTTCAAAAGTCCCCGGATCTGCCCAGTACATTATGTCAGCTGTCAATGACACCAAATTCAACTCTGCAGTGTTCCTTCTCACTGGGATACCTGGGCTGGAAGACGTCCATCTCTGGATCTCCATCCCCTTCTGCTTAATGTATGTTATTTCAATAGTAGGAAATTCACTCATTCTGTTCATTATAAAAACAGACTTGAGCCTCCATGAGCCTATGTACATTTTCCTTTCCATGTTGGCCATCACAGACCTTGGCATATCCATAACCACCATACCAACGATACTGGGCATTTACTTGTTTAACTCTAGGGAGATCAGCCTCAATGCCTGTTTAGCCCAGCTGTTCTTCATCCAATTGCTTCAATACACTGAATCCTCTCTGCTGTTGCTGATGGCCTTTGACCGCTTCATCGCCATCAATAACCCGCTGAGATATGCTTCCATCTTAAACTCACAGAGGATAGCCAAGATGGGACTGGTGGCTGTGCTAAGAGCGATGATCCTAATACTTCCTCTTCCCTTTCTCCTGAAACGGTTGCAATACTGTCGAGCCAATGTCCTTTCCCATTCCTACTGCGTGCACCGGGACGTCATGAAGATGGCATGTTCGGACATCACAGTCAACAGCATCTATGGATTGTTCACTAAACTCTTCCAGATGGGGTTGGACTCACTGCTCATCTTTCTCTCTTATGTGATGATCCTCAAAACAGTGCTGAGTATCGCGTCCTACGAGGAGTGCCTGAGGGCCCTGAACACCTGCGTCTCTCACCTCTGCACCCTCCTGCTCTTCTACACACCAGAGATCAGCTTGTCTGTGATACACAGATTTGGGAAGGGCTCTTATCCCTTACTTCAGAGTCTCTTGGGCTACATGTCCCTGCTTCTCCCATCACTGATGAACCCAATTGTGTACAGCATGAAAAGCAAACACCTTCGCGTCAGGATAATCAAGTTGTTCATCAAGTGAAGAGTCAGTTCACCATCTGGCTCCAGTGACATGTGTTAGGATATAGATATTCAGGCTTGTCTGTAAATTCTTATATTTTCAGTAGAATGATTGGTTAAGGTATAGCTGAGAATATTACTATATAAATTAGGGGCAAACAGGAAGTAAGTTGGGATGCTGTCTGAGCGGGGATTGGATTGGATTGCTCTATTAAGCACCAGAGAGGGAGATTAAGCACCAGAGAGGGAGATGAGCTCCTGAAACTAAAGGACAGTGCTGGCAGAAGAACAAATGGGGACAAACTGACCAGAAGCAAACTGAGGCTGGAAAGAAGAAGGAGAAGGAGATTTCTGACCATTTGAGGAGGGAGGTTCTGGAACAGCCTCCCAAGACGAGTAATTACCGGCACACAGCCACTCACTGAGGTTGTCATTGTTCAGTGAGGACCCAGGGTTCAGAGGTGCATCTGTGGGAGTTCACTTCCCACCCTGGGAAGAAGACACCTTGCTTTCTCCTCCATCTCAGCATTAGCTCTGGCTGACCGCCTCATCAGCTGTGGTTCCTGGTGGCCTGCCAGCCTCAGTTCCTGTCCACTGGCCACCCCAAGCTGCTCCTTCCACTCCCGCCAGCAGACACTGTCAGTTCCCTTCTGCTGCCACTTCCTTCTCTGTTGTGACCTCGGCAGGTCTGTATCTCAGGCTTTGTCTACACTTTCAGCATTAAAGTGCTGCTGCAGCATTGGTTTAAGGCGAAAGTGTGGTCACAGTGGCAGTGCTGGCAGTGAGCTCTCCCAGCACTTTAGGAAAACCACCTCCAGGTTCCCAGCGCTGGGAGTCTGTCTACACTGGCAAGTTACTGCACGGAAACTTGCTTCTCTCGGGGGGGTTATTGTCTGGAAAAATAATAGTTCTTGGGTTCCTGTTTAGTGATGTCACAGGAGTTTAATTCCCTGAATTTCTGCTAATCTCAGCATGCTGAGCTGCCAACTGCCTCCTCCCCAGCCACTATCCCCAGAGAGGAAGGACGGTTCAGCGGTTTAAGTGCTGGCCTGGGACTCAGAAGAACTGGCTTCCAGTCTATGCAGTTTCACAGACTTCTTATGTGACCTTGGGCAACTCACGTTGTCCTTCAGCCACAGGTGTTTTATTATGGCTCATATCACTACCTACTGCCCAATTTATAAATAGGAAGGAGGCATTGCTTCAATAAATTCTGCTGTTCCTGAGGTAGCCATTTGGTTCGATTGACTTCAGGTGAAATTGTAGTTGCTGCTCAGTTCCCGCCATACGAAAGAAGAAGCAGCAGCACAGCACGTTTTGACGAGGGAGTTCTGGGCCCCTCCTGCAGCTCGGCAGTAAGTGGGAGAATCAGGACGGGCTTTTAGAGAGTGAAGGATCTGGAGAGCATTGCCTGGCCAAACAGAGCCCTGCCTGTCTGCCCCTCTGTCTCATTCTGACTCCCACCTGCTCCATGAGCAATGAGAGCTGCTCTAGTGCTGTAGATAGACCTCACACCCTCCATCCAAATTTCCAACATCAAGTTTGGGAGTAGCTGGATCTCAGGGAGGGGGTTGTTTGTATCCAATATAGAGATACCAGCAGATATTGGGAGCTGGGCCTGGGTTGCACCCATTTCTATTAAGACAGTGCATGGCCTTGCTTATCTTGCATGTGCATGTCTTATGCCTGAAGAACAGGAGAGAGGTAGGCCATAGGTACTCATTGACTCAGCGAGCCCATCGATGTTATGTGATCCCAGCAATTACAGGCTGGTAAGCCTGACTTCAGTACCAGGCAAACTGGATGAAACTATAATAAAGAACATTATTGTCAGACATAGAGATGAACATAATTTGTTGATGAAGACTCAACGTGGTGTTACTAAAGGGAAATCCTGCCTCACCAATCTACTAGAATTCCTTGAGGGGGTCAACAAGCATGTGGACAAATGGGATCCAGTGGATATAGTGTACTTAGATTTTCAGAAAGCCTTTGACATGGTCCCTCACCAAAGGCTCTTATGCAAGGTAAGCTGCCATGGGATGAGAGGGAAGGTGTGCTCATGGATTGGTAAATGGTTAAAAAGATAGGAAACAAAGGGTAGGTATAAATGGTAATTTTTCATAATGGAGAGAGGTAAATAGCGGTGTCTCCCCGGGGCCTGTTCTGGCACAAGTCCTATTCAACATATTCATAAATGATCTGGAAATAGGGGTAATCTGTGAAGTGGAAAAATTTGCAGATACAAAATTACTAAAGATAGTTAATACCCAGGCAGACTGTGAAGAGCTACAAAAGTATCTCTCTAAACTGGGTGACTGGGCAACAAAATGGCAGATGATATTCAGTGTTGATAGGTGCAAAATAATGCACATTGGAAAACATAATCTCAACTATACTTATAAAATGATGGGGTCTAAATTAGCTGTTACCACTCAAGAAAGAGATCTTGGAGTCATTGTGGATAGTTCTCTGAAAATGTCCACACAATGTGCAGTGTCAGTCAAAAAAGCAAACATAATGTTGGGAATCATTAGGAAAGAGATAGATAATAAAATAGAAAATGTCATAATGCCATTCTATCAATCCATGTTATGCCCACATCTGGAATGCTGCATGCATATAAATATATATTGTAGAGAATCCAGAGGAGAGCAACAAAAATTATTAGCGGTTTGGGGCACATGAATTATGAAGAGAGCCTGAGGGAATTGGGCTTATTTAGTCTGCAGAAGTGAAGAGTAATGGGGGATTTGATAGCAATCTTCAACTACCTGAAGGGGTGTTTCAAAGTGGATGTAGTTTGGCTGTTCTCAATGGTGGCAGATGACAGAACAAGGAGCAATGGTCTCAAATTGCAGTGGGGGAGATCTAGTTTGGATATTAGGAAACACTATTACACTAGGAAGGTGGTGAAGCGCTGGGATGGGTTACCTAGGGAGGTGGTGGAATCTCCATCCTTAAGGTTTTTAAGATGCAGCTTGACAAAGCCCTGGCTGGGATGATTTATTGGTGTTGGTCCTTCTTTGAGCATGGGGTTGGACTAGATGACCTCCTGAGGTTCTTCCAACCCTAATCTTCTATGGTTGTATGAGTCTATGAATTGGAAAAAGTACAGAGAATGGCAAGAAAAACGTTTAGGGGTAAGGAACAGCTTTCATATGGGCTGTTCATCTTGGAAAAGAGATGGCTACAGGGGGATATTGCAGAGGTCCATAGAATCATGAGTGGTGTGGAGATAGTAAATAAGGAGCCACTGTGATAGAGCCCTGGGTAGATGACAGGGGCCCTGAGAGAAGCCCCCAGCCTCTCTTCCTTCCCTCCCAGGGTGCACTGCCAGGGAAGGTGGAGAGTCCAGGGCTCCCCACAGTGGCCTGGGCTCTTGGGGTAGCTTTTACCATGGCCCAACTCTGTCCTGGCCAGACAGGGCAGGGTGTCTGCAGGGCTACCTCAGGCCACAACAGGGCACCTTAGGGTAGTCCCTAACCACAGGGATTTGGGCAGGGTGTGCTGTGCTTTTGGGAGCCATTACCACTGAGTGGAGTTCAGCTCAGCCCCCAGGCTGCTCTAACCCCAGGGCCGGCTCCAGGCACCAGCTCAGCAAGCAGGTGCCTGGGGTGGCCAATTAAGAGCAGGGCGGCGTGTCCGGCAGTTTGGCGGCAATTTGGCGGTGGGGCCGTCACTCCCTCTCGGAGCACCGCCGTAGAATGAAGTAGTGCTAGAGCTGCCGCCGAATTGCTGCCGATCGCGATCACGACTCTTTTTTTCCCCCCTGCTTGGGGTGGTAAAAATGCTAGAGCCGGCCCTGTCTAAACCCCATTGAGGCAGGGGAAGAACACTTCTGTAACTAGCTCATTGCCATCCCTGCTCTGCAGAGCTGCTGGCATAGCAGAGAATCCAGCCGGGCCTGTCACTGCTCAGATAGCTGGAAGGCTGGTCCTGTGGTCTGGGTACTGCTCTGTGACTCAGAATAGCTGGGTTTGATTCTTGTGCCATGTGTGACCATGGGCAAGCCAGTGGGTGTCTTTGAGCCTCTGCACAGGTGGATAATAGCCCTGCCCTGCCGCACAGTGGTGGCAGGAGGATAAATACTTTCCAGGTGCTCAGATACTCTGAAACCCTAAGATCAGGGCTATGTCAGGGTTCCATAGAGCAGCACCTCTGACTTTGTTCTATAAAATGCCTCTTACCACAGGCTCCTGTGACAGCTGGTTTCTGGGAAGCCCCATGAGTTCAGCCTCTTGGTGTCTGTGGCACATGAGGAAGCTCGGGGGTGACAGGGAGTGGTAGATAGGTTAGTGGATTTCTGAGGAGAGTGTTGGAGTATCATGGGGTCGAACTGCCAAAAATTGGAGAAACAGCCAGGGGGGCCTCATCTTAGACTGGCTGGCTGGAAGCAAGCAGTCCCAGGGCAAAGGTCAGTTTCACACTTTGGTCCTGTAACATGGAGATGGCTGAGCACTGAGGTGACTGGGCCCAGGCTCACGGAGGTTTCAGCAAAGGCTGCTTCCTCAAGAAAAGGGGCAAACAGAAGGGAAGATGCTCTCAGGGAAACTAGGCTGGATGCCACTAATTGTTCCCAAACCAATGTAACTTGGGCCGATTCTGTTCCTGTAACTCCAGAGCAAAGCCCGTCTCACTCAGATTGTAAGGATTCATTAGCTAGGTGAGTGTAGAAGTGTGACACCTGCCTAGTATTTTAAAACCATTTAACATGAGAACATAAGAATGGCCATACTGGGTCAGACCAAAGGTCCATCTAGCCCAGCATCCTGTCTTCCAACAATGGCCAATGCCAGGTGCCCCAGAGGGAATGAACAGAACAGGTCATCACCAAGTGATCCATCCCCTTTTGCTCATTCCAAGCTTCTGGCTAACAGAGGTTATGGAACCATCCCTACCCATCCTGGCTAATAGCCATTGATGGACCTATCGTCCATGAATTTATCTAGTTCTTTTCTGAACCCTGTTATATTCTTGACCTTCACAACATACCCTGACAATTAGTTCCATAGGTTAACTGTGCATTGTGTGGAAAAAAAAAACTCTTCCTTTTGTTTCTTTTAAACCTGCTGGCTATTAATTTTATTTGATGACCACTATAAATAAAACCTCCTTATTTACTTTCTCCACACCAGTCATGATTTTAAAGACCTCTACCATATCCCCCCTTAGTCGTCTCTTTTCCAAGCTGTATCATCTGTTTTGTTAATGTCTCCTCATATAGAAGCCATTTCATAACTCTAATCATTTTCTTGCCCTTTTCTGAATCTTTTCCACTTCCAATATATTCTTTTTGAGATGGGGTGACCACATCTGCACGCAGTATTCAATATAGAGAAAATATGATATTTTCTGTCTTATTATCTATCCCTGCTCAATGATTCCCAACATTCTGTTTGCTTTTTTCTCTGCTGCTGTACACTGAGTGGATGTTTTCAGAGGACTACTACTCACAATGACACTAAGATCTATTTTTGAGTGATAACAGTCAATTTCAACCCCATTATTTTATATTTGGGATTTGGTTTTCCAGTTTCTGTTACTTTGCATTTATCAACTCTGTTTTTCATCTGCCATTTTGTTGCCCAGTCAACAGAGATCTTTTAGTAGCTCTTTGCAGTCTGCCCGGGAGTTAACTATCTTATTTTTTTTTAAATGGAGATATACCTGTCTCATAGAACAGGAAGGGACCTGAAAAGATCATTGAGTCCAGCCCCCTGCCTTCCCTAGCAAGACCAAGTACTGATTTTTGCCCCAGATCCCTAAGTGGCCCCTTAAAGGATTGAACTTATAACCCTGGGTTTAACAGGCCAATGCTCAAACCACTGAGCTATCCCTCCCCTCTCTAATTGAGCAATTGTGTGTCATCTGCAAGTTTTGCCACCTCAATGTTTACCCCTTTTTCTAGATCATTTATGGATATTTTGAATAGGACTGGTCCCAGTATAGAGCCGTCAGGAATATCACTATTTACCTCTATCCATTCTCAAAATTGAACCTTTATTCCTAACCTTTGTTTCCTATCTTTAACCAGTTACCAATTAGTGATGGACCCTGTCAAAGTCTTTGAAAATCTAAATACATTATAGGCTTTGGATCTCCCTTGTCCATGTGCTTTTTGAGCCCCTCAAAGAATTCCAATAGATTGGGGAGGCATGATTTTAGACCCCATGACATTCCAAATCTCCCCTCAGAAATCCACTCCCTATTCCTCACTGTCACCCCTGAGCTCCCGCATTTCTGCCACAGATAAGGTGCTGTAATCATGGGGATCCCAGAAGCCACCTTTCACAGGAGGCTGTGGTCAGAGGCCTTTTAAAAACAAATGTCAGGGGCGTTGCTCTGTGGAAGTCTGACACAGCCCTGATCTTATGGTCTCAGACTATGTGAGCACCTTGAATGTATTTATCCTCCCTCCATCACTGAGAGGCAGGGCCAGGATATTATCCACCAGAGACAGCCAATGGTTTGCCCATGGAGGGAGATAAACACACCTGTCTTGAGTTGCAGAGGAGTGCCCAGACCACAGGACCAGCCTTCCAGCCACCTGATCATTGACAGGCCCAGCTGGATTCTCTGCTGCACCTGAAGAGCTCCCCTTCCGTGCCATGCCATAGAGAACAGGGATAGCAAGGAGCCAGTTACAGATGTTTGATTCACTGGCCTGTTCTCCCCCGGCCTCAGTCGAATTTAAAGCAGCGTCAGGGGACTGGGCTGACCTCCACCTGATTTTAATGGCTTCCAAGAGCACAGCACACTCTGGCCATGTCCCTGTGGTCAGGGCCACCCCAGAGTGCCGCCTTGGCCCTTGAGGTAGCCCTGCAGGCATCCTGCCCTTCCCTCTAAGGTCCTTGCAATGCCTGACTCTCCGCCTGGAATATTTAAAACAAGAGCTCCCTTTGTGGGGTCACATTTATTCAGCCTTCTCCAAGACATAAGGTCTCCTA